CTCTGAGTCCTCCCTGGATGACTGAGCTCCTCATCCTTTCTCTAAGGGAGAGCCCAGACGGAGGAAACCCATTTCGGCCGCTTGTATCCGTGACCTCATTCTTTTGGTCATGACCCAGAGTTCATGACCATAGATGAGGGTAGGAACGTAGATCGACCGGTAAATCGAGAGCTTTGCTTTTTGGCTCAGCTCCCTCTTCACCATGATGGACCGGTACAGCGCCCGCTTCACGGCAGACGCTGCACCAATCCGCCTGCCGATCTCCCTTCATCCCTCATTCGTGAACAAGATCCCGAGATACTTAAACTCCTCCACTTGGGGCAGGAGACCCCCCCCCTGACCCGGAGACCTGACCTGTTAGTTACCTGTAAACAAAAAAAAAAACAACGATATTTTCTCCCATCTTACAAAGCTTGGAAAGACAAAGTGAACTACTGCTACCTGGAGGTAATGTCAAGACCTGCAACTTCCTCCTGTTGACATAAACTGCTACTTGCAGTGTACATAAAATATGGTTTCTAGGTACCCGGCTTTTATTTAAGGCTCTATAATCCAGACACTATGGCTACATCAACTTTATGGATCGTTTAGCTACTTTCACAACCGATTAGATCTTACTTATTGAAATATTAAACTGTTAGTATTTATACTTCCTGCTGAGCTTAAGAGAAAATAATTAAATAAATAAATAAATAAGTTTTTAACCCGTTAAAATAATAGAACCTGCAGAACTAGCAGATTTCTGAGGTGCATAAATAATGGTAAATCTTTAATCTGTAATCCAACTTAACTCCTGCAGAGCCGGTCTGGACTGGAAATTAATGTGCATCGATGGCATCAGATAGAAATGGGACAGATGAGGACCCGGTTCTCCAGTAGGACACTGAGGACGAGGAACACAATGTACAGTACAAACATGGTGACGCCCAGCTTTTTGCTCATCTTCCAGCGGCAAACAGCGATAGAGATGATGACGAAGAGGAGCATGAGGAAGAGCAGCACGATGGCACAGAACAGGCCGTTGGAGCTGACGGTCACCGGCTCGCCGGCATGCAGGGCAGTGTATATAAGCCAGGGGACAGGCAGGCTGAAAGCACAAAAGGCAGGTGAGTTTTAGGCGTAACAGTTTTATTTGAATGAATCTGGTCAACAGAAAAAAAACAACAAAAAATAGAAAAAAGGGGGGAAGATAAAGCAATCATAATTCTTAGAGGAAATCAGAATCAGCAGTCAGTTTGCAAAGATCAGAAATTAGACCAAACACAGAAACCTGCCAATAATTCACACTTATTCTAAATAATAAACCAGTTATTTATACTTCCCCTACAACAAACTTCTATAATTGTTTTATTTTTTCTAAGCAGCTGAATGAGTTCTGTCTAATTTGTGTCTAAAAACCAGCATATTCCCTCATATAATTACAATCTTTGCACCTAGGTGGAACTTTGTTAACAGAGAGTTATAATTTCCAAGGAAAAGAAAAAATAATGCTCACCCAACAGTGATGTCAAAGATGTTGCTTCCCACAGAGCTGGAGACGGCCATGTCTCCCAAACCTTTCCGAGCCACAATCACGCTGGTGATGAGGTCTGGAATGGATGTTCCTGCTGCCAGGATGGTCAGACCCATGATCTCCTCTGAAATGCCAATAGTTTCACCTACCTGAGTATAAGTAGATGGAAAAAAGAAAAGAAAAGAAAATGTTTATCTATGGTAGACTGCCAAGGCCAAAACCCTGCCATCCCACATCTGCAAAAAGACTTCATATTGACCCTCAGGACTTTTGGGAAAATTATATTCTGTGCACTGATGAGCTAGGTTGTCTGATGTCAAAATATAAAACTGTGAATTCTGCATCAGACTAGTTTCTGCAGCAGAACGATAATTCTAAGCATACCGGCAAGTCCACCTCTGAACAGAACAAAAATAATGAAGGTTTAGTGACTGGACATTGACTAATTCAAATGAGATTGATGCAAATTAACATGAATAACAAATAATCCATTAATTTTGGAAAAGGTTTGAGTTTAACTTAATAAAAAAAATGCAAAAAAATGGGTCAAAACAATAATTCCTAAATGCAGACGCTTGATACCAGTGTAAGCATGCAGCAACAGTAAGTAGCATAAGCAGCTGTTAGTTTTTAATTAAAGAGGAAGGATGGTTGGAATAAATCTTTTTTTCCTAAACCACTAAAATCGTTTAAAAAGTGAAATGTGAATTTACTCATATGGTCCTTCATTCTAGAGGCCATAATTCAGAAGAATTGCTTATTATTTCTAAAAAGACACCATGTGTAGAAGAAGAATCATATCTGGTCTCCAAAGAGAGATGTTGAGGAATGGACCAACCGACCTGATGAGCCCACCACACCATCATGTAGGAGTAGATGCCGATCCAGAAGATGGAGCCAAGGAACGTGGCGATAAAGAATCGTTTGGATGCCTGGGAGACAATTTAGGATTATTATTAACATTTTCTAAAGCCAAAGCTCTTAATCACATTTAAGTAACTGGTATGAGGGCAGAACCATAATATGTCTTCTTAAGTGGAGTAAAACCATAACTAGCAGGTATTCTGAAACAAACTCCTTCAAACAGTTTCATGATCCAGCTTTAACAAATGTTTTCAGATTGTCACTCTCCGAGGGCGGCACTGCGTTAGAAGGAGGTGAGGCAATGCAACAAGACTTGGTGGAATATGTTTTATTGGTGCTGCAGTTCACCAATACACCGACACCCATTTTCCTTCACTGCCAAGCACAGCAGCTTGCTTTAGCTTTTGGCCACTCCC